ACAAACTAAACACTCTGTTTGAAGAGAGAAGTGAGCGAGACTTTGATGTGTGTGTGTTTGACGGTGATGATCTGGTGTTTGTGGTGCCGTGTCGGTGCCGTTGACCTCGGCTCTGTGAGCCGGATCGTTTGTGTGTCGGAGTCGATGGTGATCTCACAGAATGAGTTCTTCTCTGCTGGTGTGACTCTGGACAGAAAGAGGTCTTTGAGTCTGGACGTCAGCCAGCAGGTCAGTCAATGTGCACAAATACAATGTTTGGTTCCCTTTTGTCTTTCTGTTGACTTAACACTTCATGTTTAGCTTGAAAATACTCAAACAGTACATTTACAACTAGAGAGTGAGCTTTTAATCTTTATTTATTTAAAGGACCTTTCGGGGCTGATCACACCGAGACACGTCTCTACACCAACTATGCAATTTCTCATAATTTTGGCCCATTATTATGACTATAGATAAAGCCCAAAAAGATTAAATATAGAACTTGCTATAGATAAAAAAATAACTTTTATTATTAAGCCTTCGTCCGAACATTTAACTCTTCTGGAAATGTTTTTTTCTGTAAAATCATATTCTGTAAAACAAAAGAGCAGATTCAGAGAACTTTTTAATGATGTTTCAATGTATTTGTTCACAACTAAACATGCACATTGTATGTAACTGACAGCATCCTCTATCTATTTTAAGGTGCTTTAGGGGCTGATCACACCGAGTGCAGTCGCTTCAGAGACGCCTCGGTAAAGCAGGTCAGGCCTAAAGGGCGTGGTGCTTCTGTGGAGCGAGGCTGCATTCACAACAGATCATATGTGATGAACAGAAATTGGATAATGTGCTCTCTCTCTCTGCCTCGCTCACTGTGGCCTACATGAAACTATCACAACGCGAGCCTGATACGATGAATGGGAACGTTTCTATTGCCTCTCAACATGGAGACGGCTGAGCCGGGCGGAGTTATGAATCCCACCGCTCTTCCTAACAGGTTGAGGCAGAGACGATTGGTTAAGATACGGGATCGACCTCCAGTACGGTCAGGATATCCCATTGGTCAGGACAAAGGACCCAAACAGATCAGGTGAGCAGTACCTCGGCGAGCTTGGACGCCGCAGTTGGCGGTTACGGCCCGAACATTGCATCATTTGCTAAATGAACATCATGCTGTATTGAAGAAGACTTGAAACTAGAGA